ATTAAAACCTCGTTGAATGCCACGCGAGACTTTGGACCACCACCCTTTGATAGAGACAGAAGGGGTTTTCCACGAAGGTTGAGACGAGAACGCAGGGATGGCATACGATGTTGCCTGCGCTGCTTCCGAAGCTGCGTGAGCCGCCATGTTGCGAGCCGATCGTATCTTTTCGCTCCGTCCTGTTCCGGGCTTTCGCTCACCGAGCTCCTCCGCCCCGAATTCGGAGGCGCCGTGCGAAAATATCTGGCGCTGCAGATCTTTCGAACCGCTCCCGATTTTCGGAAAAGGGGAGGAGCCTAGCTGCCGTGCGATTTTCGTGTGCGGTTTTCGCACAAAATTCGGCTTTTTTTCGCAAATGTGCTCCCGGCTGAAGACGAAAAACGCGCACGTCGTACGAAACACGCAAACGCGAACCTCTTGGTTCTTGACGTTTGCGCGTTTTTCAATGTCTTCCCAATCTGCGTTCGTAAGACAAGCGACGTCTTGAGCCAGGAGAAGGGACGACGACTAGGCGACGTCTTCGTGCGAATCAGCTTGGTGGTCGGGCGTGTCGTACGAAAGAAATCTTAATTGCTTTAATTGGTTAAAAATTTATATTTTCAAGCTAGAGAGATTCGCCGGAACCACGAACAACAGTTCTGCAGTAGAAGTCCCACGCCCGTCATTTGCCGCCATCGTTTACTCCGCTTCGTCCAGCCTTCCAACCCGCTATTCCCGCGATACAACGCCATGTTGAGAATTGCACAGTGAATGTACTTCCGGTACTCTGTGCAACTTCTTTTTTTTTATTTAATGTATTTGCAGCTTTTTAGAAGCCACAAAAAATGAATTTAATATTTTTTATATATTGTCATGATTCTAAGGCATGACATGAAAGGAAGTTGAAGGGGCAAGAAGAAAGAAGATGATGCCACGTGAGACAACGATTTTTGGAGGGGAAGAAAAAGAAGAGGACGGGCGTGAGAGTTATAATCGAAGACTGAGACCGGGAGGAAGCGGCGCATGGGGTCCATGGCTACGCTCCAGGACGCGCCCGACCCTTGCTGTGCACAAGCTGTCGCGGCGAGAGTTTCGCAGTCCCCTTCAGGCGCCTAGGAAACAAGGGCCTTCGCTGCCTTTGGCATGTCACCACGGTTCGTCGCCGCAACGAACTCAAACTGTAAGACCTTCTCTGAACTGCGTCATTTCTTGGAACTGTAGATGTGCTTAAGCGTGTGTGTGTATTATTTCCCCTTTTTCTGTGTACATACTCCTTTGCTTTCCGTTACATCTTTGTCTTCCTTTTGTAAATATAATAGGTTGTAAATTATTCGTTTTCGGCATCGCCTCTATCGCATTCGCAACGTCTCCGGCCGAACCGTGACATATATATTTAATAATGTGTGTGTGCCTTCGATGACTCACGACTTCAATTTTATTTTGGGCATGTGTCCAAATGGCACATGACGACTGAGAAGAGAGTGGTCGTAACTCAAACCGGCCAGTTCTCGATCGGCAGTTTTCGGGAGGGGAAAAAAAACGGATTTTAATTCGCAAATGTGTTTTGGGCAGCTGCGCTTTCATATGCCATGTACACATAAAAACCCTGCAGACCATAAATACCCTGCCAGTGTTTGTTTAACCTGAAACGAAGAATAGCTTGAATATAGGGTGTTTGAAATGCCGAGGAAAGAACTATAATTGGCCATAAAAATCAGTGCTTGCACGTAGAAATCTAAGCTTTCGGTCAAGGGTGTTCTTCACGGGTGGGTTTCGCCGTCGTGAAATTACAAGGCGTGGCTCCCTTTCTGCTAAAAGCAAGGATAGAAAACTTGCCAGCGTCAACGGCGTACGGCAACGCCGACGACCGAGTTAGTTTTGTGGCAAGACGGATTTCGCCCACGTATTATATATGGCGCCACCTCCTTCGCAGTATAAAAAGGCTTTAGTTCAAGCTTTCTTTTAAAAAATATCGAGATGCCCGCGACGACCGTGTTCTATTAAAATGATCATAATCTTTTTCTAATGCACCTTTGGTTTGCAAATAAATACGGACAATGTCAGCAAAACATGAAGCAACAAATATAAAAGAAAACGCGGTGGCATAATGACGGCGCTCTTGCTGCCGACGGATTTTATCTGCATGTCATCTGCTTTTTTTCGCTGGTCGGCTAAACCTCCGACTCCGACGCTACTCCTGACACCATCTCTCAATGCATGCGCCAAACGCGCCCAGCCACTCGTCTTGGCCGTCTGCGTCGCCGTCCGCCGTTGACCCTGGCATGTTTTTCGGCCCTGTTTTTTACAGAAAGGGAGCTACGGCTTGTAATTTTACCAGGTAAAACCCACCTGGGAAGTATAGATTTGACGAAATATTTAGGTTGTTACGTTCAGGCGCCGATTTTTATGACCCACTATCGATCGAGCTTCGGAATTTTAGTCACCTTATAAAATGAATGAAACAAACTCTGCACATGCACTATATTTCCTTTTTTTTCTTTGTCCAAAGTCCTGCGTTGTCTAGCTTTGGCTTTTCACAACTGTTGTGTGTTGGCAACCGAGGATATCCAGGGATGCCGGTGAACTGGTGCACGCGCGCATGCACGAGACGTTCGACTGCTCTGGCCCCAACCCGGTCGGCTGTGCCCGCTGTATGCTGTAATGTATATATTATGTAAAGATTAAATACACAACATTGGCGACGAAGTGGAGTCAACCTGCGGCGGAAGACCTTCTAGAGCGCCGTTCACGGCGCCATGGCAGAAGCAAAGGCATCAGCGGCGCCGGCATTCGGCGGCATCGAAGAGTTCGCACCGAGCACCGGTGCAACATGGCCACTGTACCACGAAAGGCTTGAGTTCTACTTTATCGCAAATGAGATCAAGTCAGCCGAGAAGAAGCGTGCAATCCTGTGCACGGTCTGCGGGGCGGCAACGTACGCCATCATTCGTTCACTCTGCTCACCGGCTCTACCTTCCGAGACGAGCTACGACGACATCGTCTCGCGACTGGCGGCCCACTTCAACCCGAGGCCGTCCGCCATTGTTCAGCGTTTCCAGTTCGGGAAGCGCGACCAGCGTCAAGGAGAAAGTATCGCCGACTACATCGCCGAGCTTCGTCGGCTGTCGGAGCACTGCGCTTTCGGGCCAACGTTGGACGACATGCTCCGAGACAGGTTAGTCTGCGGCCTCCGGGAAGAGTCCCTTCAGCGACGGCTTCTCTCCGAGCCGGAACTAACCTTCGCGGTGGCCAAAGAGAAGGCGATAGCAGCAGAGTACGCCCACCACCAGACAGAAAAGATCAGGGGGGCGTCCGCAGAGAGCAGCGATGTGTGTCGTGTTGGTAAGCAAATGGCTCCAAGAGCTAAGCCTAATGCCGAGGCATCAAGAGAAAGGACTGCGTCGAAGTCACAGCAAGACGCTGGCAAGTGTTTTCTCTGTGGAGGGTCACACGCACCAGACGAGTGTCGTTTTCGACACGCACAGTGCCACTTTTGCAAGCAGCGGGGCCATATCGTGAAAGTTTGTCGACGAAAAGCGAAACAGTCCTCACCGACGCCTAGGCCTACAGGTGGCAGCCGCCGGAACGGCCGGCGGCGCGACAGTGAAACAGCGGATGTTTTCGGCATCTTCCAAATGACTGCCGAGGAACCTGCTATCCGCGTGGTCGTAGAAGTGAACGGGAACCCTCTCGAGATGGAAGTCGACTCAGGAGCGGTGTGCTCCGTGATCAACGAGAGAACTATGCGTCAGCTGCGGTTGTCCAAGCACAAGCTGCGACCGTGTGAACTACGTCTTCGCACGTACAACCAGCAGGAATTGAAGGTGCTAGGCTCCGTGATGGTCCAAGTCACCTATAAAGGGCGTCAAAAACGACTGCGTCTCGTCGTGATCAAGGGAGCAGGCGTAGGCTTGCTTGGCCGAGACTGGTTCAAGGCTCTTGGGATTGAGCTGAGAGTCAATCAGCTGGAAGAAGCAACGAACAATCAGAGCCCGTCCAGCGCAGCAGTGCTGAGTCGTCACGCCGACGTTTTCCAACCAGGTCTAGGCAAGAGCAAGGGACCACCAGTTCGAGTCGAAGTGGAACCGACTGCCCAGCCCAAGTTTTTCAAACCGCGTCCAGTTCCCTTTGCCTTACTACCAAAATTGGATGAAGCCTTGGACAAGCTCATCAGGCAAGGCATTTTGGAACCGGTCCGACATTCCAGTTGGGCGACTCCAATAGTACCTGTGGTAAAAAAGGATGGCACAGTGCGAATCTGTGGCGACTACAAGAGTACGGTAAACCCTGTGGTCCGTTGGGAAAGCTACCCCCTACCCACACCTGAGGAACTTTTCGCGAAGCTGGCAGGCTGTGCAAGGTTTTCCAAGCTTGATTTAGACCAAGCGTACCTGCAGCTGACAGTTGACAGTGAGACAGCTGACCTTCTCACCATCACCACACACCGTGGACTTTTCCGTGTCACGCGCCTACAGTTCGGAGTAGCTGTTGCAGTCGCTATTTTTCAGATGTACATGGAAGAGCTGCTGCAAGGGCTGGAAGGGGTGCAAGTTTTTCTCGATGACATCCTGGTAGGCGGTAAAGATGAAGCCGAGCACAACACCCGTCTGCAAGCTGTGCTTCAAAGAATTCAAGACGACGGTGTCCGGCTAAAAAGGGACAAGTGCGTTTTTGGAGTGGATGAAGTTGTATTCCTAGGATACAAGGTCAGCAAGGCAGGAATACAGCCGACAGACGACAAGGTCAAGGCTATCCATGGGGCACCCGAGCCAAAATGCAAGAAGGAGTTGCAAGCGTTCCTAGGGGCACTCAACTTCTACAACAGGTTCCTACGGGGAGCGGCACACACTTTGGAGCCCTTGTACAGGCTGCTCGACAACGGCCATAAGTGGAGATGGACTACGCAGGAAGCAGAGGCTTTTCTGCGGGCCAAGCAGCTACTGCAGTCTTCGGACGTCCTTGCCCATTACAGTGTCCACCAGCCACTAGTCATGGCATGTGATGCTTCTCCGTACGGACTTGGGGTGGTACTCAGCCACGTTGATAGCGAAGGCCGGGAGGTACCGGTAGCCTATGGCTCTCGAACTATGACAGCTGCCGAAAGGAACTACGCACAGACAGACCGGGAAGCTCTGGCGATAGGTTTTGGAATACGAAAGTTCCACAAGTTCATCTACGGTCGGCATTTTCGGATCGTGACCGATCACAAACCTCTACTGGGACTCTTGCATCACGCAAAACCGATGCCTCAAGTGCTGTCGCCGAGGATGTTGCGATGGTCGTTAATGTTGTCGGCTTACGACTACGAGCTGGAGTACAGGCCTGCTCATCAGCTCAGGAACGCGGATGCACTGAGTCGACTGCCTCTAACTGTGGAAGACAGCTCAACTGACGAGAAACTTTTTGAAGTCCGGATGCTGGAGACTGCGCCGGAGATTCCGTGGGATGCCCAGAAGATTGCCCGATGCACCCGGAACGACCCAACCTTGTCCAGAGTTCGACATTGGACGGGGGTTGGATGGCCTCAAGGCAGGCTGCCGGACGAGTTCAAGCCATTTGTTCGACGGCAGCACGAGTTGTCGGAGTATCGGGGATGCCTGCTGTGGGGATGTAGAGTCATCATTCCAGAGCAAGCGAGAGACCAGGTTTTGGAGCTGCTGCATACCACGCATCCCGGGATCGTCCGCATGAAGGCGCTTGCCAGAAGCACAGTTTGGTGGCCGGGTATCGACCAAGATATCGAAAGGAAGGTCCGAACCTGCCTGCCCTGCCAGGAGACAAGGCCGCAACCTGCACGTGCAAGACTGCATCCGTGGAAATTTGCCAGAAACCCATGGTCCCGAATCCACATCGATTTTGCAGGACCCTTCCAAGGAAAGGTTTTTCTTCTGGTGGTGGATGCGCATTCGAAATGGCTGGAAGTCATCCAGATAGCATCCATGTCGTCAGCAGCAGAGTGTCAAAGGCTGCGAGTGCTGTTCGCAACACACGGTGTTCCCGACACTATTGCCTCGGACATTGGGACAGCGTTCGTCTCACAAGAATTTGAAGAATTTTTGCAGAGAAACCAGATCCGGCACGTTAAGGTGGCGCCATATCATCCATCGTCAAATGGCCAAGTGGAGCGCATGGTCCAAGAAACTAAACAAGTCCTCAGGCGCATGGAAGGAGGCGACATGGCCACCAAGTTGGCCCGATTTCTTTTGAGTCAGCATATTCTCCCGCACTCAACGACCGGAAAGAGTCCGGCGGAATTGTTGATGGGTCGGAGACTCCGTACTGCACTGGACCGGCTTCACCCAGACAAGGTGTACGCGAATTCGAGCCGCGAGAACCAGTCTTCATCCGCAATTATTTAACAGGCCCCAAGTGGCTACCCGGTATCATCACTGAGATCACCGGTCCGGTGTCTTACAAGGTTCGCACCATCGACGGTCGTTTCTGGAAGCGGCACGTGGACCAAATCCGGAGACGGGAGTGGAGCACATACCTGGACGAGGAGGAGCCTACGACAGAGCTGTCACCTCAGCAGCTCTCCTTACCAAGCGAGCCATCGCTTAGGAATGAATCGGTGGAAGAGTGCCCACCATCTACGAGTCAAGCGGACTTCCCTGAGGAGTCAACCCCAGTGGCAACACCTCCAGCTTCCCCACAACGGTCACCTGCTTCACCCCATGAACCGAGGCACCAAACAGTGTTGCCAACTTCAGCGCCTGCGCAAGAACAGTCAAATCGTCCCCAGCGACAACGGCGACGTCCCGACTACCTAAAGGACTATGTGACCTAGGGGGGAGGGATGTTGTGTGTTGGCAACCGAGGATATCCAGGGATGCCGGTGAACTGGTGCACGCGCGCATGCACGAGACGTTCAACTGCTCTGGCCCCAACCCGGTCGGCTGTGCCCGCTGTATGCTGTAATGTATATATTATGTAAAGATTAAATACACAACAACAACCCTCCGTAAATGTAAGACGCGTTTCTTTTTCTTCTTTTTTTTACATTTCGATGTTAGTTTTAGCTTTGTTTATACAAATATTCCAAGCTCGTGACGTGTTTTCGTATATTCAACAAAAAGTAGGAAGCTTCTGTTGACGGACGCCAAAAGAAGGATAAGACGATGTCTCGTTCAGAACGACACAGGCTTTTTGGCTATTATCGGGGGGAGGGGGGGGGGGGGGGGGGCGGGTGGACATACAGCGGAGTTCCGAATCTGAGCGAAGCCTTTAAAGTGACTGCATAAATCAACTTGGTGATGTATCGCGCTACGATCTACCCCAGGGGTGCCGGAAGCTTCTGGGAGCATCGTTCCAAGATTTCAAAGGACGAGCATGTATATTTTTTTATTATCTGAAACGATTAATAACCATTGCCTGGACATTACCTTCAAAATCAAAACTTGAGAATTCAGTATCTGTGAAGTAAAAAAACAACTTTCAGATGAGGCATTTGAAGTTCCCGCGCGATCGCTGCCGTGCGAGTCGCCTTCCTTTCACGCCTCCGGTCCGAACGTTGTCGCGGCGACCCGAAGCGAGGAGGTGAGGAGCGGGAAAGAAGGGCGCCGGGCATAGCGGGAAAAAACGGTTTCCTCCCTGCGTGCCGTGCCGCCTGCCTATCGCTGCGAGCGGACGACGCTTGACGTATACGTCCCGTCGCTTCTGCGTGAAAGGCAGGCCCGGCGGAGTTACAACCAAAACTACGATACACGGACACCAAACCCGGTTGCTTTTATCGTTTGACAATTTCATTTTCCGAGTCTGAAAGGTCGTCGGGCATCTAAAAAGGACCACTTCGTCCAATTCCCCGACTCATCGATCAGCCATGTTTTCCGAGCGAGGATAAAAATCCGGGAGGTGACATCGCAACCAAGTTAAAAATTCCCATTCGATTCAAACTGGAATTTTCCACTGGTACGAGTTAGGCTTTCGGACAACCAATTGGTCGCCGCCAATGTGAACCAAAGGGAACCAACGAGATCCATTTGGAACCCATTCAGTTTCCGACTGGAAAAGTTATTCCAATTGGTGTGACCCATTGGCCTCTGTGCTTCCAATTAAAACCCACTAAAACCAATCGGCTCCAATTAAAACCAGCTGGAATTCCAATTGGATCTCATGGAAATTTTTAGCTGGGAAAGGACTCCAATTTTTGGTATTTCAAAAAGAAGGGCCTTTGCAATTCCGTTAAAAACACGTTTTACCATTGTGGTTATTAAATGTTATAGAAATGTCGCCTACAAAGTTTCTAAGTTTCATGATATTTGGTGTCACCAATCAAAGGAAGCGAGGAGGTGAAAAGCGGAAGAGAAGAACGCCAAAAATAAAAAGGCGCGTGCGCGCGTGGGGAACTTTGTTTTCGTGATACGGTATTTTTTTGCATGTCTATGACTACAGCTTGCATCGTTTTAGACAATAAAATAAAAAAAAAAAACTTTGGGGTGTCAGTGTTCTTTAAATAAAAAACTAAAAAAAGCGAGAACCGATTATTTTCTTTTTACCAGCGACGCTCTTTTGTTAATTGCGCACTCGCCGCTTACAGGACAACCGAAATATGGCGGGAACGCGACCCCGCGGCTTACAGCAGCTCACCAGCTGCCCGCGGTCACGCCAAAACCAGAAGACATGTAGCTGAAATTACACGAGAGACCCGACAGACTATCGGTTTTATTTGTTCTGTGTTCCCTTAATCTGTTTTATTTGGAAACAAAAAGGAAATTACGCACGGAAAATTACAGCGCTGAAAAAGCGCGCGTCGTTTATGAATCGAAAATGTTGTCAGTTTTTGGCGGAACCGGGCGGCTGCGGAGCTGCGGCGAGCCGTCACTGCCGCCATCTGTCGGTTGACGCGCCGGTTAGAGGGTGAGTAGTTAGCAGACGGCTGCCGTTGGTAGAGAAAACCGTTATCATAATTTACTTGTACTGAGGTAAGTTCATTTTTAAAACTTTTTATGCGAAGTTCCCGCCACTTTCAGACACCTCTGTGGTGGATTGTAACGCGTTATGTTACCAGGTCGACTTATGCGCTCATTTTAAAGGCTTCACCCTGACTGACGACCCAGTTGTAGATACCGCAAAATAAAACATAAGAAACAAATTCCGTGAAAATCATAGAAGAAAAAAAAATAAAGTGTAGCGCACCTTTTTAGAAAGTCTCCATGAGTTCTTCTGTGGTCTTAAAAAAAAAAAAAAAAGCAGAATATGCAAGGTCAAGCAATAAAGTAAACGTATAAAAAAAAAGGTTTAGTGAAGACGACAGACGTAAAACTTCGCGGGCAGTATTAAGCGTTGTAAGAAAAGCGAAAGCTAGATGATATTAAGGAGTTACTTCACATTTGAACTCAACGCTTTGTTCGGAAGTTTGCACATCATAGAAAGTAAATTTTGCTCTTGGGTTGCCGAAGTTACTGCCATTTAAAGACTCAATTACGAAAAAAAAAATATTAATGACGGGGCGTGCTTACTTTTTAATGTTCCTCTCTACTTTCCTCAGTTGTCTGTGTACCAATCTGTCATATTGTGAACGAATGCGTAAGTTCTGTTATAATTATAATTTCGGACGTCTTCGCATCCTTTCCTGTTGCTTCCTGAAAATGTTTTTAAGCATTCTCAATCAATGGACGTGAGATACCCCAAAGATAGTCTCTGGACGGTTGTGGTAATCCCTTGCCTTCCTACGACGCATCTACTTTCCTGAACTGGCATAATTATTAGTTTTACTCCTACCATAACCTCGCAGTGAACGAATAAAAACAGATCCCGCTTGCTCGCTCGTAATCGCCGGTTTATTTTATTGACGCTTATCTTCGCAAACATTTTGTTCAAAACTTCCGTCTCGGCGGGTGTGTCATTAAATATCGAAAAATGATTGCGTTAAAGTGGGCCCGTTGGGACTTGTGTAGAATAAATGTTTAGTTGTTTAAGAGATGCTTTCGTCATAATAATTTTATATAGTTTTATAGTTAAAACCAGATTGGCTAAAATCTGCTGTTTTACTGCCACGCACCCTATATACCCAATGAAAGAACAAATAGCATTCATTTGTGGCGGTGAGCTTATTTATCGGTTTTCTGAAATCCTGAAGAAACTTGCAATCTTGTAAAATTGACGAAACTAACCCTCACTTAAATTCCGCCTACGCCCGGTCACGAGAAGAAGCATTCGGTAACCGATCACGAATGTCCGAGCGTTCCGGTCCTGCGGGGAAGTGAAAAACCCGTGGCTTTTTGGAAACGAAGCCTACAAATATGGGTTACGCAGGGCGCTCACATCCGGGCCTTTCCTTCCTTTAGCACAACCCACCGAAGAGAGCACGCGGTTGCCCTGAATACTTTACTAGGGGAGTGCATCTCACTTCCCGAAAATCGAATGGCGTTGGCGAGGACAGGCTTTGCGTAGTTGGAACAGCTATATGCGCCGCAGCCTCAAAGTTTTCCCTTAGTATCGGGAGGTGAGAATTTCGCTATATATCGTAGTCTACTATCACGATCAATATGAGTGCGAACACCGCTCCGTGTGGCCCGCGGTACTATCAGTGCCCTCTGGCGATTGCTCTTTGAAACATCAGTGTACCTTGCGGTCGAGACATGTCGTCTCTAGCAATCTCCGCACCACTCTGAACTTGCGGTCGTCTGTTAGCAAAAAAAAACAAAAAAAAACAGCACCACAATAAAAAAAAAAAAAAAACGACAAGGACGTCACGTGTGTGCCTTCGTTCTCGTCGTTTTCATCGCGCTGTTTTTTTATGATGAAGGGTATCACCCACGCTCGTACCGCGCTAACTTCTTGCATCCGCGCATTGGTGGTCCTTTGCTCTCGCAAAACTCGCGCGAAGTAAATAATAAGGGGTCTTAGTTTATTGTTTTGATACCTCCGATAACGATATGATGCACGAGTGAAGGCGTCGGCGATGTATCGGGTTTTGTTATTGGAGACGTGAGAACAATCTACTAAAGTTTCCTAATAAAAAAGATGACGCTTAAAATATGTATACAAATAATTTATCCTGGAACGCATGCTAGCAAAAAATGCGCTTCGTCATTGGCGAACAGTTTCCCGGCTTCGCCGACCGTATTTTGTTAGCAGACGACCCGGAAGTACAGAGTGGTGCGGCGATCGCTAGAGTCGCTATGTCTCGACTGCAAGGTGCACTTGTACTTCGAAGGGCAATCGCCAGAGGGCAGTGATAGTAGCGCGGGCCACGCGAAGCGATGTTCGCACTCATACTGATTGTGATCGTACATCTCAACTTCTCAAGCACTTGTCCAGACAGCCATCTCTGCGGCCTTGGCGAACCCGGTATTTCGCCGGCGGCTGCTCTTTGCACCGGCACCGCCCGACTGGGTTAAAGCGTGCAATGCGCGAG